CAATACAAAAACTTATTTGACCGATTTTGTATTCCAGTACAACGTAATAACATATTATATAAAAACGTATTTTTTGAATTACATAAAAAAAACATATTTACATAAAATAAATACATAAAAAAATATAAAAAACATACTTCACATAAAATAAATATATACAAAAAACTTTTTTTTATGTTTTTTAGGATTACGTTTTTGTATAATATGTTATTACGTTTTTTTATGTATTTAAAAGTATACGAAAACTTATTTTTTAAATACGTAAAACAAATACGTAAAAAAACAAATAATCGTTCGTATTTTTTTTTACAATACGCTAAAAATATTTTTTTTTATTAATTTATTTTGTAAAAATATGTTTTTTTTAATATTTTATTATTCATTTATTTACAATTTATAGATAATATTAGTTAGTTTTCGAAAATATAAATCAAGTATGGCTCTAGCCTAGTTGGTTAAGGCTTTGGTTGATTAAGGGAGAAAGGTAGGAGGTCCAAAGTTCGAATCTAATACCCTTAATTTTCTATCATTTATATTAATTTAAGACAAATTACAAAAATGGTCCCTATGGTTTATTAAATGTCACGAATTCAGTCCCTTTATACTTGAAAAGACGAAAATACCCTCACAGATTCAGTCCCTAACGGCTGAATACTAACGGCGTTAGTAAAAAGGGTCATCTTTGCAAGTTTTGCAAACCACAAGGACCATTTACATCAAAAAAAAATTAGCAGAGACTGACTTTATGACTTTTGGCAAACCACAGGGACCATTTTTGTAATTTTGTCTTAATAAAACGTTAAAAAGGGGTCGTAACACTCACTTTCGTAGTGTGAACGAGACTCGAAGTGTGAATCTTGTTGCGAGATTTGTTACGTGACATTCCTCATTCTTAAAACGAACCATCGGGTATATTTATATTTCCTAATAAACAAAATGGTAGTTTTGATATTAATTATTAAGTATATGGTGGTCTTTGTCAAAATAAATAAACTCTAGGGTTTGATTTTTGCCAAAATCACGCTTCAGGGACTGATATTTCGATTTATTCTCAAGAAAGGGACTAAAATGTGCATTTATAACTGATTTTGGGGTTTTAGGGCTTATTTTGTTAGGCTTTCTGGTGGAGGGACTAATTCTGTTTAATTTAAATATAGGTTTTACCTAGATTGATATCTTATTTCACATGAGGACTAGAGTTGTAAGTATCAGAAACCTCAGGGTCACAATTAAATGAAACGAAATGTAGTTTGTGTCGTCTTTTACATTTGAACTTCTTTTACATTTGAACGAATTGCAGGTGGAAAGAATAAAATTCGTTTTTCAATTTGAGTCTCGGTTGTGATCAATCGACGAAATGGGTACACAAATTAAATGGCGACGGTGGAGAGAGTATCTTACAGTGGAATCGGAGTTAGGGAGGGCGGCAATCGATGGCAGCATGGTGGCGGCGAAATGGTGGCTGTGGCGGATGGGGCTGCTCCGGCGGCTCCTGTCGCTTCGTTTCCGGCGATTTCGTCGAGCGGGAAAGGTCAGGGAAGGATTCTGACCGCAACAGGAGTGTTTGGTGGTGATTTCGGGTCAAAGGAGAGTGGTTTTTGGGTGGTGCTACGGTGGGGCAGTGGCGGTGCTGTGGTGGTTTGGTTGTTCCGACCAACAGAAGAGAACAGAAGGGGGGATAGAGGTGGTGATTGGCGGTGAAATGTTATTCTTATGGCCTCAAACTCGAGTTTTACAGCCGAAAGCGACTTCACAATTAGTCAATGGCTCACATTTGTGGAATCTGAACCCATTTCTTTCCAAGATTCCTTTTTGGCATCAGCTCTAATGGTGGGTTAAGTCCAAAAACCAACCCCACCCAATATTTAGTTTTTTTCGGAAATTGCAAAATTATCCTGGACTAATATGTTTTTATTTGAAATAAATATATTTATTTAAACGAAAATCTTGTTATTACTTTTATTTCATTTTATTTATTTATTTATTTTTGCTATATTTATTTAAGTTATATTCTATTATTATTATTATTTATTTTTATTTTTTTGAGTTTATAAATATTTTTGGTAAAAATATTTTAAGTGTGGGATTATGTATATTAGATTATCGTCTAAGTCCAAATTCTCTTCGAATTTTCATGTGAGGTGCGCAAGTGTCTCAATGGATCGAAACCCTAAACCCTAAACAATTTACGAAATCAAATAACTGCAATGATATATCGGTTTGATTTTCTTAAAATGGTCGTATCTTTTGCATACGAACTCCGTTTTGGACGATCTTTATATATCCGCGATCAGGGGAAACATGTACTACGAGTCTAGAATATTTCCTTTGTTCATAGATGCTTAATGCAAAATTTCAGTTTTTCAATCATTAACTAGTATTACAATTTGTGCTTTAAGTTTCGTTCGACATTTCCATAATTTGAGATAAGATACCATTTCATATCTTATGCAAAATAGTCGTATCTTTTGCATACAAACTCCATTTTGCACATTCTTTATATATCAGCAATCAGGGAAACATGTACTACGAGTCTAGAATATTTTCTTTGTTCACAGACACTTAATGCAAAATTTCAGTTTTTCAATCGTTAACTAGTATTACAATTTGTGCTTTAAGTTTCGTTCGACATTTCCATAATTTGAGATAAGATACCATTTCATATCTTATAGTATCTGAAATGACATTATATTTCTACTAAAATATGCATTAAAATTTAATCGCCCAAAATACAAAAAGGTTCGCAGCGAACTGACCGTTTACAGATTCGGACTAAAGTTTCGGGATGTCACATTACTTCCCCGTTAAAGGAATTTCGTCCCGAAATTATCTCGTTCCTAATACTATTTCGTTCCACTAGTGGAGGGGTCACCGCTAAACAGTTGTGGGTACTTCCGCCTCATTTGTTCTTCGCGTGCCTAAGTAAACTCTGGCCTCTACATGAATTCCAGCGGACTTTAACTATTGGTATGAGGCTTTGTTTGAGGCGTTTGATTTCTCTATCCATGATCTCTACGGTTCTTCTACGAAGTGAAGTTTAGTGTTGACTTGTGTCTCATCGATAGGAATGACGAGGTTCTCATCGGCGATGTACTTTTTGAGATTACACACGTGGAAGGTATCGTGGAGTTTGCTGAGTTCTTGTGGTAGTTTGAGTTTGTAAGCCACTGGACGAACCCTTGCTAGGATTTCAAAAGGTCTGATGTATCGAGGGTTCAGTTTACCTCGTTTTCCAAATCTAATGACACCCTTCCATGGTGCGAATTTCAATAGAACACGGTCTCCTACTTCGAATTCGAGGGGTTTACGTGTCACGTCAACATAGCTTTTCTGACGACTACGTGCGGCCTTTAACCTTTCCTTGATCTAAAAAATCTTTTTTGTGGTTTCCTGAATGATTTCGGGGCGAGTACGTAAAGTATCCCCCACATACTTTCCATCCAGTTGTGTATCACCAACTTCTGCCCAGCATAGCGGAGAACGACATTTGCACCCATATAAGGCCTCGAATGGAGGAGCTTAGATGCTGGTGTGATAACTATTATTATATGAAAATTCAACTAGTGGTAAGTGGACATCCCATGCATTACCAAAGTCTATCATACAGGCGAGGAGCATGTCTTCCTGGGTTTGTATCGTCCTTTCACTATGTCCATATGTTTGAGGATGATACATAGTACTCATGTCGAGTTTGGTTCCTAGAGCCCTCTGCAGCGTTTGCCCGAATTTGAAAGTGAATCTGCTATCTCGGTCCGAGATAATAAATAGTGGTACTCCATGCAGTCTGACTATTTCCTTAATGTAGGTCCTGGTGAATTTCTCCATCTTGTCGGTTTCTTTAATGGCTAGGAAATGGGCTGACTAAGTCAAACGGTCAACCACAACCCAAATGGTGTCATGACTGCTCGAAGTTTTCAACAACTTTGTTATGAAGTCAATGACTATCTGTTCCCATTTCTATTATGGAATAGATGGTTTTTGTAGTAATCTTGATCGTTTCTGGTACTCTGCCTTGACTTTGGCACAAGTCAAGCATTTACCGACATACGTGTCAATCTCTACCTTCATGTTGGGCCACCAATAAAGCTTCTTAAGGTCGATATACATCTTGTCTGATCCGGGATGTATCGAATATCTCGACTTATGAACTTCGTTTAAAACTAGGTTCCTAACTTCACCAAACCTCGGGGTCCAAATTCGATGTAAGTCCCAATACTTGGATTTACTCTAAGTATCAATGCAATTGTTTGAGTTAAATCAAACAACAATACAAAACAAACAAATAATTAAATGAACCAAAGAACACATTTCAATGAATGCACACAATTCTATTAATCAATTGCTTTGTAGCTGGCCACATAACATTCACCATGGTTTTGTTAGTACGAGGATCAATGACACCCTTGGCCTTTTTTGTAAACGATGAAGCAGTCTTCATGCCTTCAAAGTTATTCTTAGCTTTATCCTCAAGATACTTCTTAAAATACCAGGCCATGGGTTCATTAGTTGGATTGTGGAAAGGAGCAACAATGAGTTCAGAAAGATCAACTTTTGTCCAAGACAAGAATTCGACCTTTTTCTCATAATATTCAACTCATCCACTCTTTCGCTTTACGATCCACATGTTCTTGTTAGCTTCATATCCCCACATCAAAATGCCAGAGCGGTCCCTATATTTATCAGTAAATTTCTTCCCAGTCTCCCTGAGAAACAACTCAGGCTGATCACCTGGAGCATTTTGGTCCGAATGTTTCATCACCAACATCTTCCCTCTTAGCTGCTCAACCTTGATTTGCTTTTCTCTTCTTTCTTGAGCAGAAGAAGGACCAGAAGATAAAAATGTGTCAAGAATTGCATCCGGAGCAGGTCTTACAACTCTTTCACTTACAGGTTAAGAAGATGGATTAACTGGTCCAGAACTAGAAGCATAAATCTTTTCTCCTTCAACGCTTAGAGGTTGAAAATCATCACCAAACTTTTAATGTAAACGTTGTTTCAGGTCAAAGAAATAAGGTAGTTAGACCACCAAGATTTGCTTGAAGTTCTGAAATCTTCGCATCTTTAATGGAGTTCTCCTTTTCAAGATCACTTATTCTAATGTCCTGCTTTCCAATAATCAAATCCTTTTCATCCAAGTTTTGTTCTAAATCAAAAACTCCGTTCTGAAGCAGGGCAACATCCACAAATTCAGACTCAGGTAACTTGCTTTTGCCTTTTGAAATATCTAGCTCTGGGGCTTCAAAGGAGCTTACAGAAGCTTGAGCCCCAACTGAAGGCAAAACTTCTTGTTCAACAATATGGCATTCAAAATCTTGATCTATAGGAGTGGATTCAGGTAACGTGCTTGAAATCTCTTGCATCACTGGAGAGGACTCAGTGAAAGTGATTTCAGTATTATGGGCCACAGAACTAGGTTCAATCGGAGTAGAAACATTTTGAACAGGGTCTGTGATAAGCACTCCAGGTCTTGGATCTCTTCTTTTCCTTTTTCTCGGGAGTAGAACATGAGTTGAATCATCTTGATCACAATTAGATGAAGGTTCAGTTGTAACAGGATCTGCTTGGGGAGGCTTCCTCGCAGTTCGCTGAAGTTCAACAATAAGAGCATCCATCTGTTCAGGGGTAGGTGAATAAACTTGCACAATTGAGTCACGATCTCTTTCAGTCACAGCAGAAGGTGTGACAGTCACATCCTCTTCAGGGATTGAAATACTTTGAAGAAGATCTTCAAGCTCATTCTCAGTCATATCCTTTTCTTGAACCTCTTCTATTTCATCATCAGATACATCAATCTCTTCAGATGCAGATTAAAATTTTGATTTAGGTGCCACGTATTCCTCGGCAACCTCAACATTAATGGTGCTAGCAGTAGGAGTGTTTTCAACTTCAGCAAATTTTCCAAACTTAACCAACTCCTTCAATCCTTGATAGGCGACTTTGGCAGCTTTTCTTGATTGCTTCATGAGTCCAAAGGTGTTGGGACCCAAAGCTTTCATGTCCAAAGTGTCAGACGACCTCTCAATTTGATGATATTTTTCATTCAGGAGCGTTTGAAGGAACCTGGGATACATCAAGAACAGTTCCTTCTTCTTCCCCTGGAGGTTGCTTTTCATTTCTTCAAAAACAAACTTTGAAAAATTGTAATCCTAGTTCATTGCTAAAGCGACAATAGCTTAGGTCGCAGTCTGACTTATTCATCAGATCCTCCCTTCCTTCCAGAAATACAACTCACAAAATAGTGTGCCAGAAGCCTCCAATAAGGTGGCAACAGTTTCTTAATGGTGGGAGGATAAGTTCCTTCATAGCACATCTTCTCAAGAACTTCCTTCACTTGATCAGCGGAGTATTCAATTGGAAATGCAGATGCATCACCAAATTCAAGTACTTCTCTGATAACTTGCTCAGAAACAATTACTTGAGTTCCCTTCATCATTGATTCAATAGATCCAGCTCCATCTTTGTTGATTGATGCATTTTTCCAGAACTCAATAATTAATTCTTTGTGGATGACTGGATTGGCACGGAGGGCATGTGAAAGGTCCAGTTAATGGTTTGGTCTAGGCTTTCATTGTATTTTGTTCAGTATGAGTCTTTAATACATTTTGTGAGTTGTTTTTGTGTTTACGGTCAGAAAGTGTGTTTACGGCCGTAAACCCTGTTTGCGGTCCTGTCTAGTATATATAGTGGAGGTGTAGGTCTATGTGTGGTTGTTGATGCCATTGTGTTTACAGAGTGTTCCATCGAGTTGTACCTAACGTTTTTCTCAATATAAACGTGTGCAAGCTCGATTTCTTTTCTTCTTCTACTTCTATTGTGATTGTTTGTTGCTTGATCATTGGTAAAGATCCTTTTCAGGACCTTACAATTGGTATCAGAGCTTGGATTGTATCACTCATCTTTGTCAGATCTGGAGCCGATTTGATCTTATTTTGGAAAGATTATTGCGTTTTTGGATAGATCTCTGAAAATTAGGGGGGTTTGTTCTTCGCGTTTTTCATAAAAACGAGTTTTTGATCGAGTTTTGGAGCAAAAATGGTGAAAAACGTCGTTTTTTTCGCGATCTGAAGCTGTGTTTACGGTCTTTGAAGGGTTTACGGCCGGAGTTTACGGCCGGAAACAGTTTACGGCCGGCTGTTTACGGTCGGCGGTTTACGGTCGCCGGAGTTTGCGGCCTCGGCTCGGTGAACGGCTTGAAGGACGGCTCGGTCAGCAGCAGTTTCCGGTTCGCACCAGGTCCTCGCATCGCGTCGTCGGTCTTCGCTTCGGAGTTGATCCTCGCACGTCCTAGCATCGCGCCTCGTCCTCGCAAGCAGCAGCCTCGCCTTCGGACTTCAAAAATTGAAACAGTTTTGGGGGTGCCGGGATTCGAACCCGGGTGCTTCAGTTCAACACCACAGCGTCTTACCATTTGCTCTAGGCTGCATCTTGTTCCATTACTCCCAGATTTTATTCATAAAGACTCTCTTTCGCACCTACTTTCGCATTTTTGTCAATTTCAGCCCAAAATTGATTTTCTTTTAATTTTAAATTCCTTTTTCAACCAAAAATTTAGTGTTTAATTTTTGACTTTATTTTTGACTTTTTACTTAAAATTTTGACTTTGACTTTTAAAATTTGACCTTTGACTTTAAACTTTGACTTTCTCGTTTAACTTTTAAATTTTCAAATTTAGCTTTTCGGTTTGACTTTTAAGTTTGACTTTTCAAGTTTGACTTTTGAGTTTGACTTTTTAAATTTGACTTTTGAGGTTGACTTTTGAGTTTTTAGTCAAAGGGCATATTTTTTAAAGACAATGAGTTCTTCAAACGTTCCAGTCAATAAAGTTTCATGTTCTCAATCTTGTGAAACTACGATTAAATTTCTTCGGGAACAAATTGATTTATTAAAAAGAGAAGTTGAGGACCTGAGATATGAAGGATATCAACTCAGGAAAGCACAGAAACCCCTTAAGGCCCAGTTAGAGACAAAAATAAAAGATTTTAGAAGAATTCAGACAGAATACAGTGAAAAATGTGAGCTTTATGATTATGTTAAAAGACAAAATGATGAGCTAATTACCGAGCTTGATACATTAAAAAGACAATTTGAAACTGCAAATTTTGATTTTAGAAAATTTGATGGGTCAAGCGAGGTAGTTGCTAACATGATTGATCACTGCATGCAGTTTAAACGAAACCAACAAAAGGGTCTAGGCTATGATAGTGTACCTCCTCCTTATAATCATACATATCAGTATCAACCCCTATCCAAGGATGAGATTGCCAACGAATCATTTATGGTTTATGGCAAGCCATCTGGTTTCGTTTTAGGAGGATTTATTAATGTTGAAAGTACTAACATTTCTACTTCCCCTGCAGATCAACCATTAGATCAGGCAAAGCGTGAAGCTGGAGAATCTGTTTCTGTTTCTAATTATGATATTTTTGTTTCAAATGAAAATGTTTGTGTTTCTGATGTTAAGACTGATAATGTTTCGTGTGATGTTTCCACATCTGCTACTGTTGAACTTAATTTCTTTGATATGTTTGATGAATTGTTTGGTAATTCTGATGCTTGTGATTCTCATGAAAACCCATCAATTCCACAAGTCACACCCTCTGAGGCACCCTCACTTATCTCACAACCTATTTCTCATGCAAGTTCTTCTGAGAAGAGTAAGAGTGTCTGTCAAGAAAATAAATCTGAGAAATGCAGTACAAGTTCAAATAATAAACATATTTGTTTTAATTTGTGGTGTTGGTGGTCATATAGCTAGGAATTGTCAAAATAGGATCTTTGTGAACTATATGTCACCAAAAGGAGAGAACGAATCTCGAGGAAGGTCTTTAATTAGAAAATCCTCAAGAACTCGATCTCAAAATGATGATTGGAAGAGATCCGACCTGGGTGTATAACATATGCATTCTAATCAGTTAGTCATATGCACCTGTTTTCTTTTGGGCCGAGGCGATTAACACTGCTTGCTACGTGCAGAATCGTGTTCTAATCAACAAAGCTCAGATGAAGACACCGTACGAGATTCTCTATGGACACAAGCCTTCAGTCAGCCATTTCCGTGTATTTGGCTGCCCTTTCACCCTTCTTCACTTGGAATCCAACCCTAAATTCAATGCCAAAGCCGATGATTGTTATTTCATAGGATATGTTGTGCGCACCGCGTATAGGGTTTACAACAAGAAGACTAAGCAGATTGTCGAATCCTATGACGTGCGCTGGTTGGAGGAGAATGAAACAGACGCTCGAGTGGGTCCTGACTGGTTATTTGATTACACGTCGCTTTTCAAATCCTTAAATGTGTCTTCAGATGGCTCAAATGGATCCTCTTCTGGTTCGAAGATTGTTTCTGAAGACGAAGACGAAGAAGTTGTTTACAGACCTCCAACGGTTGAGGGGGAGTCCTCTGCTCCATCTGAGGGGGGGGGGGGTCCTCTGCTCCACCTCAGGGGGAGTCATCTGATCGACTTGATAGTCCACAGTCTAAAGTTCAAGATGGAACTCCTGATGCTGATGCTACACCTCTTACCCCTATTGAAAGAGAGTTCATGTCTAGAGATGCTTCCGCTGTCAATCCAACTTTTATGGAATTACTCTTTCCTGAAGAAATTGCTAATGAGTTTGTAGCAGATTCATCTAATGTGGATCAATCAACAAATGATGGAGGTTTCAACATCCACACTCTTCCTGTTTCACTCAATGATATCAGCCAAGACATACCTTCAAGAATTCAACGCGATCATCCGATCGATAACGTCATTGGCCAGCTGGGTGACGGAGTTAAAACTAGAAGTCAGAGTGGAGATGTCAATGCATGTCTCTATTCTTGCTTTATATCTCAAATAGAGTCCAAGAATGTTGACATGGCTTTGAATGAGCCCAGCTGGGTAGATGCAATGCATGAAGAGCTAAATCAGTTTGAAAAGCGCGGGGTTTGGAAATTGGTTGAGTTACCGAAGGGAAAAAGGTCTCTTGACACGCGTTGGGTCTATCGTAACAAGCAAGACGATTCTGGTGTAATAGTGCGCAATAAAGCAAGGTTGGTGTTTCGCGGGTTTCGACAAGTTGAGGGTCTTGATTATACTGAGGTTTATGCTCCCGTGGCTTGATTGGAGGCTATTCGTATCTTTCTCGCATATGCCTCCTATATGAACTTCACGGTCTACCAAATGGATGTCAAGACTGCCTTCTTGTATGGCAAGGTGAAGGAAGAAATTTATGTTGACCAACCCCCTGGGTTCGTTAACTCAAAGTTTCCTAATCATGTCTACAAGTTGGACAAGGCATTGTATGGGTTACATCAAGCTCCTCGAGCATGGTATGCGACTCTAACAAAGCATTTGCTCGAGCATGGATACTCTCGCGGCACTATTGATCAAACTTTATTCATCAAGCATGTTGGTAATGATCAGATACTAGTCCAGATCTATGTTGACGACATTATCTTCGGGTCTACCAGTCCACAACTTTGCAAAGAGTTTGAAGGCGTGATGAAAAAGCGGTTTGAGATGAGTTCACTGGGTGAAATGACCATGTTTTTGGGGCTTCAGGTCAAACAAAATTCAACCGGAATCCTGCTACATCAAGCTAAGTATGTGGAGGATATTCTTGAGAAGTTCGGGCTTCAAGACGCAAAACCTGCATCGACACCAATGGCTGAAAGACCCCTGCTGAATCCAGATATTGATGGCGAATCCGTAGATCAGACACACTACAGATCGATGATCGGATCGTTGATGTATCTTACTGCAAG